TCAGCAGCTTGCTATGCTTTCTGTAAAGATGAATGACTTAGCTATTTTTCATATTGTCTCCTAAATTACTTCTCTCTAATAATGTAAATGTATGAAAATATTTGAGAAGAATAATTAAACGGCGCGAACTGTTTTCTCTCTCTGTTTTTCCCCTTTCATTATTTTTTCCATATGATATTTTTTCCTCTTGAGCAATTGAAACAATTTGACTAGATTTTAACGTCTTTATCATAAGTTTAATGTTTTCTGGAAGTATAAAACGCAAATTTGACTGTTCTATGCAATTTTAGCTACTCTACTGCTTTACAAGATATTTATTTCAGAAATAGAGAAATTGTGGAATTTATTTAGCCTTCTAACAACAAAATTAAAGTTTTATGGTCTGAACATTTACTTTACTTTTAATGATGCAGAAGAACAGGCGAAATTACTGTGGTTTTTTAATTGTAGTTTTAAATGTATAATTTTCAAAGTTGCTCTCTGGTCTTTTTCTAATTACTTTTGGGTCCCCACTTAGTTTTCATTTTATGCATATGGTTCTTTAAATACTTCAAATAAAATTATATGCGCACAAATTTATATCAGTTATCTATATCATATTGTTGTACGTTTTCGAGCAATTTTACATTAGTTATAATATTTTTAAGCCTTGACTAGGGTTGGGCTTTCATTTAACTGATGATAAGATGATCATACTGGTGCGTTCATAGTTTAACATTATTGAAAAAGAAATTAGGATTGAATAAAATATTTGATAGCATAGATTGGACAGTGATTAATAACTTTAAATCATTTTAAATCATTAGTAAAACCATCAATCAGAAATACCATTAAAGATATTTGGTTTTCATATCTCTCTGAGTAAGTGATTAGCGTCAGCTGAAAAAAAGGTGAAATCAGGAAGCAATATTAATGTAACTTACTGTTAAAAAAGCATTAGCGTTAGAGACATAACCATGAATTCCCGTATGAAAATATAAATTTGAATTCAATATGCATTCAGTTTTGCTTATGCACCATATTCTTCTTTAACTCTGGAGAGGATACATACATACCATTTGAAATATAATGTAAAGGGGAACGTGAAAAATGTTCGCATAAAAATTTAGAAAATAAGTTCCAGACGTGAATACCTAGTATAAAATAGTAAGTTGGTTTTCAAATAAATCAAATGAAAAATCTTACATTAAATTTGAATATGGTTTTAAATATTTGAGTTTAATATTATCTTATATGCCCATAAAGATATTCAGGGTCACTTATGCCGTATATACCAGTTTGAGTTGGCAATCCTGCTAGAATGCCCGTGAGCATATGTGGCATATTGTAACACTCGTGAGCATATGTCGGTGGAGAACTAAGAGTCAGGAAGAGTTATACCATGGATCGCCGCCCATAGTGGTTAGGGAAACCTACTGCGATACCGAAAAGCCCCGGGTTCAAATCCCAGAGAAGGCATTGCTGTAATTGTTCGTCCCTTCATAGGAGGTAACGGTGGTCCACCTGTTAGGTGCTTCCACGATAAAGTGACCACCACTTCCGGCTTTAGTAGTAGTTGCCAAGCCTAAGGCGGCTGCTACTAAAGCCGGAAGTGCCCGCCAATGGGGAAAAAAAAAAAAAAAAAAAAAAAAAAACATGCGGTGATGGGAACCTTTAGTCAGACAGGCTGTGTCACAGATGCTCAGCAGATACTTCAACGAAAAAATGAAGATCACCATAACTGTGGTTAAGACGGTAGATATAATTTTATTCCAAAAGTACGGCGCAGCGGTAAGTATGTAGGACGACAGACATTACCAAGTCATATGCTTTCTCATTTTGACGATTTGACTTGGTCGTCCCGCTTCCCAGATTTGATATCTTCTTACTACTTCCTCTGGGTTTACCTGAAAGAGTGAGTCTTTGCACATCGTTTGCAAACAATTGACGAACTGAAGGCTACCTCCTGCCTTAAAATATATGTTATTGCATAGGACATGTGGAGACGTTTAATTGAAGCTTTCCAGCGTTGTCTCGAGCAATGCATCTAAGCAGAAGAACATTAATTTTAACGTTCGCTGATGTCTGCATTACCTGTATTGTGTATTGCATTAAATGATGATATGTATACTGTTATTTCACAACTACATAAAAGCACTTCAAGCATTCATCGTCTTTTTATTAATAGTTAAAACTAACGTATGAACTGTAATCCATTCTTTATAATAGCATAAAAAGTTATCCTTGATGAAGAAAATTGTATGTCATTCAAGAATGAAAAGATGTACTAAACATTTGACTTCAAGTATGTTGATTGAGTATTTGTTGCCACCTTTTCCCAGCTTTCTATCATTTTTTCAAATGATCTTTGCATGAAAATGATTTTTTCAAATGAAGAAATTCCTCTACATTGTTTTCATAAATAACATTTTTAATAGCTAAATTATTTGTATATTTTCCTGGGTATCAAAAGTTTAAACTAAATGCGCTTAAGCAAATGAAAATAAAAAGCAAAAGGAGTTTTGATAAAGGGAAAAATGTTAAAATATATTAATGTTTCATGCAACATTTTAAAAATTCACAGCGGGTAGGTTACGCAATTGATAACAAATTTTATTAGCCGTACACAGCGGTAAACTCCAGAAGAATTTTTATATGTTTCACAATCACTACTTTTGCTGAAAGCTAGATGATGACAATTGAAAGAAGCTATTGGTAATAATAACTTTTTGCAACAAGACAGTTATCTAGCTCACTATCTCGGAAACCATTATCAAGACATTTTGAGAGTTTCTCAGTCAACATTATGAGAAATATAGAAATCATTTACGGCAGTAACAGCATCAAAATTTGCTACTAAAGCTGCAGAGATAGGTATTATACTAATTAAGTTCTTATTTGCTACTAAACGTGTGGAGCTGTCATACTTTCGCCTGTGAGAAGCATGAAAAGTCAGCTATGACCCTCCGAACAGAATGACAGGAAGTTGAAAAAGGAAAACTCCTTTTGCTAGCTTTATGTGCCAATCAATTACATCATGAAAGTAAGCATGGGAAAATGTGAAAATTCCCATTTAAAAAGCGAGACGAGCAAAATCCTTGGAGTTGAACAAATCTAGGCGTTCATGAGTTATCGTTCTCATATTTTAGACTGGATGCCGCTGGTTTCCTGCAACGAAAAACATGAAAAATCAATTCTGTTGTCGCCGAATTCGAATTACCGATCTTCGACTGCTTTATGTGTATGCTAACCATTTACACTACATGTACACATACGAGAGAATGTTGTAATTGCTCATAAAGTAGGCAGCAAATCTAGACGAGAAGCTTACACAGTAATACGATGATCAGCTCATTCTTTGTATTTTAACCCATACAAAAATTGGGATGCTTATTATGGGCTTAATGCAGAATATTTTCTTTGAGCTTGCATTCCCCGCAAATCTTCAGGTTTCCTTTATCAATAATGCTGCATCCTTAGCTAATTGTTTTCGCGTTTGGAATGCAATACCGTCTACGAATCAAATCATCTTAAGTATATTAACAATTGGAGTGTATTGAGAATTTGTGACATACTACATAGAAACCTTTGATGAGTTTACATGTTTTTCAATGTAATAAAATTTGGTCACGGTTATGCAGTTCTTCCTTTCTTTCTAAAATTTTAAGTCGTTCCCTTTATTACGAACAACTCTGTATTGTTACTGATTTTTTTAGAACAATTTAGAGAAACAATTTTACATAGAGTTATGCTACTGAAATTATGGGGTTTAATGTGGAGTTTTAGCGCTCAAAAGTAAGTATTTTAAAGGTTCCCTAACCATCATGACTACATACATAATCTTTATTTCGGACGGAGAGATTTAAAAAAGAAGCTGTCGAATTGTATTTAATCAGAAAGTCCTACAAAAAGAGAATAAATTTCTTTCTGAAAAGTGTTAAATCAAAACCACGTAACAAAACTGAGCAGAAACGAAGGTGAGCGCAACTAACTAAGTAAAAACTGAGACATATCTTACAGAAACTTGAATTCACGATTGATGTTCAAGTATGAATATATTTAAGTCCCGTGTGACGCAAAGGAATCTTTAAGCGAATCCTTATGTTTGCTGTATTCATCATAACTAATGTACTATAAATTTACGAAGCTACGAAGAGAATTAGAAAATATCCTGCATAAATAACAACTCCGTTTTAACTGCAGAATACTCTATCAATAAATTTATTTTGTTTTAATTCACTCATCTGGCAGCTAAATTGTTACAACGACCCTCTAAATTTTATTTATTATTTTTTCTCATAAGCTCGAAACCTGATTGAAACTTCCTTCTGATAAACTCGATTGCTATGGACGCAGAGAAATGAGATTCGTTTTTTCTTATCCGTTATGCCTGCTTATTTTTTAAACTGTTCTAAATCGAAACAAAGTGCTGAACTACTCTAATAGAAAAGAAAAAACACTGCTTATGTTTACATATTTAATAAAATTTAGTAAAAATCATTATTTTGAATGTTTCTTAAAATTTACGAAATAAGATATTTTTCCCAAATAGAGATATTTGATCTCAAAGGGATGGACAAAGCCGATGAGGACATTAAGAACATTGCGTTTTATGTGTATGCATCGTGTATGTATGAACATTGTGTTTTGTATGTGTGAAACATTATGTTTTATGAACATTTTTGTATGTAATCATACCAATACTCAATACTCAATCTATCAATTCTCATCACAATAATAAATAAAATTTAGAGGGTCGTTGTAATAATAATGGTAACAAACTAGCTCTACTATTTTTTGCGTAAAACGATAAATTTCTTATGATTTTTGGTGCGTAAAAATTATACGTGTCTTTTATAATGCTACTTATACAGTGATTTTTTTTATTGTTATTATTCTACGGATTGCCTGATCCTCAATAATTTTGGATAATCCGAGAAAACTCCAGTCTCTTGATATGGTCGCTACAGAAAGCTTTGATGTTTTAATATGCTTACAGTTGGTTTTTATCTGTATTTCAGTGCACCAGAATTATGTAGGAGCGGACGCAGAGAAGATTCCCTTTTTCTTATCCGTTGTGCTGACCGATGCAAATTCGCAAGGTGTGCAGCAATACAGAGCTATACTATGGCGTAAAACGGTAAGCCTGAAAAAATGTTAGATGTTCTTATATGTACCTGCTTAACTATTTCTATACAGATACTATAATTCTGTTCAGAAGTGTAGTTCTGGACTTCATTCCATTTCAAGAAATCTAATTTTAAGCAAATTTTTGCTTAATTAAAAATGTTGCTTGAAAATAAAGGGCATTTCATTCATTTGACTTTTATAAGTAAGAAACAAAAACTTATTACCTACTTAGAACATGATAGTTCCAGGTACCGACAGAAAAACATATTATTCTTTGAAAGATAATTCTTTGAATTATTTGAAAGAAAAGGAATGCATACTGAAAATTATTTATTTACATTTTCTGTAATATATATATAATTTTGTATATAATTATATTTTGTATGTATATTGTGATTAATCAGTACCTTTTAGTAGTCAATAGTTTCATATTTATATTATATTTTGGGTATAAATGTTTTACAGACTTTTTTTTCCTGCAACTGGATTTATCTGGCAAACGGTTTTCTAAATTTAATGTTTTTTGTCAGATCGTGTCAGAGAAATTCTTTCGTGTGGTGTTTAAAATTAAATTTATTTACATTGGTTTAAAAATTTTATTTATCTTTACAAATTTCTTAGGATTTTGAAAAAATAAATCATTTACATACAAGGAAGAGGCGAAACGCGGTCATTTTCTAGTTATTGATGGTTTAGTGGAAAAGGACTAATTCGCCTTGAAACATTTTCGTGGAATAAACAGTAATTTATTTTGAGGTTTTTGTTATTTTTATTTACTCTCTAATACAGTGTGTGTTTTTATTCAAATGCGGTTCATAACTTTTATAAATTTTAATATCCATAGATTAATTTCATTTTTCTAAGTTTTAATCTCCATAGTTTAAACTTAATTTCATGAGGTATTAACTTGAATAGTATCCTATTAAATTGTTTCTTACTCTTCAGTTCCTTGGAGATAATCGACAATAAATGCAAAATAAAACATTGTTCGAAACCTAATCCAACTGCACTCTTACAGCAGCAACAAGTGGTGGTAATAATGAAAAATAAAATAAATAATAAATACAATAAATAATAAAAAGTTTTAAAAAACTATATTATATTTTATTTTATTTTGCAGTAGTGTCCTTCCACCTGATGTGAACTAAGATACTGACAAGTTGCGGAAAATATCGAATTTTACGAAAGATAGAATGGGTTATTCATAATACGTAATATTTCGTCCAACATCTTAAATCCATGGCAGTTTTATTCTGTTTTTCCAATACTGGCACTTATGCAATTTTTCTGAATAAGAAACAGAAATTGATTTGCTACTTAAAACATGAAATAGTTTCGGATAGCAAGAAAAAAATATATTATTCTTTGAGGTCGAAACTGAGAATGAAATGAAATGCATACTGAAAAAAAAAAAGCATTTATATTTTCTGTAATACATATAATAACTAACTAAAAAGTTATAAAAACTAGGACTTAATAAAATCTAGCGCTAAAGCAGCTGAGACTTAAAAATTAATTTCACAAAATATCGTAAAAGCAAATTGCTGAAAAAACGTTATACGGTCCTGGGAAGTGCGGCTGATTACTGTTAATTGCATTGCTATGTATTTCGTTGAACGGAAATAGTGGCGTTTTGTTTTACGCAAAGAAAAATATTTTTCGTTTTTATTTAACATAGTAAAAAAAGAACAAAATTAAAGCATATCTCTTAAGCATATGATTTTAAAGCATAAGTAAATTGAATTTATAATTTCATTTGAAAACGAAATAAAAAGAATAACATCTGAAATTTGTAATATAATTTCATCATCCACTTCTTTACGAATATATGAAGGCTATGCTTTTATATATATATATGAAGGCTATATATATATATATGAATATATAACCTTATATATATATATATATATATATATATATGTATGTATATATGAAGGCTATGCGTTTAACTTAATATAATTTAAAAAAAATAAATGTTCAACGTTTAAGTCACTGAATGCTGGTAGTTTGACAGGTATTCAAAACCGGGTGAACGAGTTGGCTGATTCGGCATGTTCGTGATATTCCCCATGTGCAGCCGTATACGAGCCAGTTTTCCTTAAAACGTCCTCCACGAACGCACCCCTTTTCTTAAGCAGATAGCCCGCGTAAACCAAAACAAGTCAGCCTGGTGAGCTGTGATTCCATTTATTTAGTGGTAAATGGACTTCTACTCAAGTTATAAGCTTCTTATTAAAACATAAAATTTGTGTATATAACAGCAAAAACGTTGATGAAGGCAAATGCAACAATAAATTTTGCAACAAATTTTTGCTAATAATGGAAGGATTCGAGAATTTTTTAATGAATTTTTAATAGGATAGACTAAAGATATTTAGATGATTTGGAGAATCATTTCAGGAAACAACTTTAAAATCTACAAATTTTAAGAAGGGAAAAGATGAGCAATACTGTTCAATTCGATCGTGGCATAATGAATATATCTTAGTGTGATTGGACAATGCTGTTAGGCAGCCGAAAGCTTCCGGAGTTAAATATTTTCTTATTTTATATTTTAGGCACTACTATTATGTTTTTTGTGTTTAATGATGCATTATTTTGCATTTGTTAATGTATAAACAACAATAAGTAAGCGTGATTTGAATGTCTTATGCGAGTTGCAATCATATTTACTTAGGTATGCGCCTCTTTAAAAATATCTTACTCTCAAAGAGAATATTTATTTTATTTATTAACTCCTTTTATTTGCGTCTTGAGTAAATTATTAAGAAGTTTATTTATGTAAAACTCCAGAACGCTTTCAGCACATCAGTTTGATTCTTCAATACTTAATGGAGATGTTTTGAATTTAATTCTCTAAGAAAAACCTATTTATACAACCTTCCAACTTGGATAATAATCTACACATACGCAAATTACGAACTGAATATTAAGATATATGTTTAAAACTTAAAGATGTGAAATGCGGAGGCGTTGAAAAACATTCTGAGAAAATGATGTATGAAGCATTAATATTTTTTTTTCTCGCTTGAGAAGAATATTTCAGTTTTTGCTGAAGGCAAAAAATAATTATCTCTTGTTTTTCAATGCCTTTCAATATTTGCAAGAGCGTTGACGATAACTCAATAATTTAAGCTCTGCATAGAAATAAATTGAGTTGGAAGAATTTATCGTTCGTTTTACGTCATCAGCAAATCTAATTTCCGATTCTGACATTTAACATTTTTATTGAATTATTAAGAATAATGGATTTATTTTTGATATTTATGGAAGATAAAACTATTATAATTGGAAGAGCTTTCGATATGTTTTTCCCCGGTTATAATAATGTCTATGCCTATGTCAAGAAACAGTCCATGTTAAACCTACCTGCCAATTAAAGATAATGTTTGTGCTTTGTAAATATACTTTTTTTAAAACTTTTCCCATTAAGGGATCAGGGGATTCATGTTGGCAATTAATCCTTTTAAGTATATCTTCTCAGTGAAATCATTTGCGTTTATCTTACAAATATGTTTCTTTCTGTGTGTGCATTTCAAAAATATCCATTGTCTCTTAGTTTAATTTCTATTGGGTGAAAATAACGTTTTTTTAAAGCGTACTCTATTTTTCTTTCTTTCAATGTCTTACATATTTCATACCATTGAGTAAGTTATGATGGTTGCTGAATTATTCATACTTCTTAAATAGGTTATATGTGTTGCTGATTAAGGTATCAGAGTATGTTCTAATCGTCATTTTTGATAAATTGTTCAAAGTATTTTTGTAGCTTGTAAGTTTGTATTTTATTTTTGTAATGGCACTTTTTATTTTGGAAGAACTCTTTCCTTTACCTTCTAGTTTCTCACCTAGGTTTCCATATTAGAATGAGATTTTAGGATTACGATTTATGCAAATAAGGTAGAAACAGATATTTAAGCTGAAGTCTGAGTTACTTCAGCCACGTTGTTGCTTTAGGTTAAGCTTGGTACTCTGCGGCCGTACTTGTAACGTGTCTGCTTATTACTATTATTTTTAATTAAGGTCCGACTCCGTGATTCGGCTGGTTAACTTTCTTTAGCATTAGATTAGTTTTATAATTTCTATTTTGAGTTAAAGCTCAAGTTCTTGTATCCCCGATCTGTAAATATATTTTGAGTTGTAATAAAAGTACAATTTAACCCTTCTCCGGAGTTGTTACTTTCTCACAAGAACTCAGCGAATAAGCGCTACATAGTTCTTTAGTATTCTAGCTTTCAATGAAGTCTTATTTAGCTAGGATATTACATTGGCGACCAAATAACTGTCAAACCATGTCACTTGAGACTGGTTCGACTATTCAGTTTAGCTGCTCCTAGACTTCAAGTTCCACCGGCATCAGCCAACCCAGTGGAAGGGTTTGGATTTATAATTGAGACCACTGCGGGCAGCGATGGAACTGGGTGCTACCTTCGACGGGAAAGGTTCCGGGATATCCTTCCTGGAGCAGTTGGAACTACATTAGGTTGCATCCTCTTTCAGAACTGCAGAAAGTCACTATCACCACTGCAAATCTAAAAATGCCAAGCACTAAGCTGGTATAAGGTGACTGGCAAGTTCCTGCTAGTTAAATAAGAAGCCTACTGGATACATATTTTTATTTTGCATACATATCTGCGACAATAATATTTTTATAGTTTTCTTCGCGTGGGATCTTTCCTATGCGTTACAATTTTAGGCCAAAACAGCGTTAAATCGGATGGGCTGTTAGTGTTACGGGAATTTCGTCGTCCACAGTAAACGGTTGTACCACTTTTCAACTTGTGGCCACCAAATATTAAAGCCATGTGCTCTTGTCAAGAAAATTAAATCATGAATAATCTGCATGTATGTATGTGTGTTCGTTCCTCATATTGTGAATAAGCAACGTTAACTAGAGCAATCAAATTTTGAAAAACGTAGCCCTCCACTCGAAAATGTACACCTAAAAATCCGAATTCTTAATTTCGAGTTCCCATTTTATTAAACTTTATTTAATTTTTGATTAATAAACTCAATGATTTAAAAGCGAACAGTGGCAACACTGTGTGCAATAAAACATTTTTATCTTCAGCTTTAAAAAAAAAAAAAAGTCTTGCAAGCCATCTTACTAAAAAATTTAATGTTGAGATGAGGAATGAGGGGGGGGGGAAAGTGAAATATATATGCCAACGCTAAAACTGCGCCGGGATTCTAAACATGTTCTGCTTTTAAAATTTTTTTAATTTTACTGTTGAACTATACGTGGCGTTAAGTGTGAAGAAAATGATGCTTAATTAAGCCAAAAAGACGAAAAGAAATGGGTGGGTAGGTGTGAGTGAAAAAGCAAACTAGTAGACCGCAAGATCAGCGACAGCCTAAGAAACGTTAACAATCTGGCACCCAGCAGATTTTTTTTCTGAAGTTAATTTTTCCATAGTAATAAAAAAAAAAACTCTTTATTTTTTTTAAGTTTCCATTGCAACCACTTTGTTCAGCAAAATTTCTAATAATCGTAATCATTAATGCTTTGTTATTTAATCGTAATATTGTCTATTGAATCAATTTATTTTCACGGCTTTTGTGTCTGTTTCTTTATATGTGATTTTTTTTCATTTCGTCTGCAAAAACAATGGGCAGAAATTGAATTACTACAATTGAATGACATGTTTCGCGGTATATAAATTCAATCATAATATTACGCAGTTAAAATGAATGTTCCTTGATTTGAATGTCAACTTCCTTCTAGCCTTGATAAGTGCATTTTCGATATTAAAATAAATGAAATTATCATTCAATGGAAACTAAATAAACATTAGATAAAAGTTGTGGATGAATGTTTACAGTTCATATTCTTTGATTTTGTTTTCCAGAATGCCATTTTTTTAAACTTTTTAATGCAAACAAAATTGGAGTATTTAGATATATATGTATATTTTACATATTTGTAGAGATACTTATTTTCAGCTCATTATTATTATTTTTTTTTAATTCAGTATATCTTCCTAAATATCTTTTTCTTACTTCCTTGAAACTGCGAGAAGACTTAAAAAATCAGAGGAAGTAATGTCAGAAACACCTTTGAGAGTAAAAATGACACCTTTATTGAAAATTCTTTTTGGAATGGGTTGTAAAGGCGAAAATTTAAAAAACAACCTCTCTATTAATTCCGTGTGATAATGACAACGCATCTTCTGTTCTGTTGTAATTTTTAAATAAAGATGATTTTTTTTTCAGGGAGCCCAAAAAATTTGCCTTTCACATTCTCCTGGAAAACCACTGACGGTGAAATCAATTTTAAGGTAAGAAAGGCATTTTATTTTTTAGTACGATTTTATGATAGAAACATGACAGAATATATTACGAAGAAAATAAAATTAAATTATTAGGTATATTTTAACTGCCTCTTGTAGTAGAAATAAAATCGTACACATTTAACTATAGATTTTCTTTTTTCTTCTTTCCTGAATGGATGTCACTATTAAAATAAAACACCGTTTAAATAAGAAAATGTTTGTAATTAATTCACTTTGAAACAAGATACAGATATGAGAAAATCTGATGTGGACACCACATGACTTTCTCGTACGGCCGCCTGAATTATACACACTTTTTCCGCACTTCATTTAAACCTGTTTCATCGAATTATTCTAACTAGTTAACCGAGCCCTCAAGTGAAGTTGAAAATGATATTAAAAGTTTCAAATTTTGAAATTAAGTATTCCGATCAATTTTTGTCGTACCGGAGTCAAATTTCATGTAATTTTATTTTTCATAAACAATATAAAACGTTTCCGTATATAAGCATAGGAAGCGGAAGACTGCATTAAAAGTTAGATTTCGTTATTTATCGACAATTATATATATATATATATTTAATTTTACATTACCAAAACATGAATATTTCGGTCTTTCAGAACACTTCTTTATTCAGAAGTATATGATAACGACCAAGGATAATAATAAAAAAGAAATGCACAATTAGATGTTATAGCAGTGCAATTCCCATATACAAAATTTCATCGTTCTAGGACTAACCGTTTTTGAGTTATGCGAGATACATACATACATACATACGTAATTACGTATAGAAATCATGAAAAAATCCATTTTGAATCCATTGTAAACCCATTTTACAGCCCAATTTGGAATGAAGAGTCCTTTATTCTGTCCGTACACATAGACATCACACTAAAAAATCGTTCAAATAAATTCTGGAAAGTCCAAAATGGATAGTTCCTTTCAAATATAATAACCGAAATTTTTCACGACTACAGTATTTCCTTTACATACTAGAAGGAAATCAGGAGTAAGTAAAATTAATTTAATACAACCGCAAAAACGTATTTGATAGACTAACATAAAAGTAGTATATTATTAGCATAATAGACAAGAATATAAATATACATTAATATAAATGCAAAAGTATTTATCAGACATATCTTTTATGACATCAACTTTCAAATGATAATTTGAGATTTTATGAAAATTCTTATTACCCCTTCTTAAAACAACTTAACAAATATAGAATGATTCAAAACACTCTAAAATAAACTTTTATAGTTTGAATGTAATGTTATTTATCTTAGCGACTGCTACAGGAATTTTAATGAGAAAAAAAACACATTTTATATCTCTTATTAAACCAAAGTTGAAATATTTTAGTCACCTGTGCAAAAGTATAGGTTAAGAAAATATTTCTCTATAATTTCGGATGATAGGCTTGTAAATTAACATTTCTCCATAATATTACCGGGTGTTCAACATTTAGTTCATGCAATAACAATACGTGCAACTCTGACACGTCTTTTCAAATGCCTTTTTAGATGTGTTCCGTAATATCATCCAAGTTATGAATTGATTGTGCTGCAATTACTGTTTATTTTTTAACACATGTATCCATGTGCTTAAAGCACAGTTTCATTGCTGATCCGTCTACGTTGCCGCCTGTCTACGATTGATGATTAGCTATTTCTTCCGAATCTCACTCTGCACATCAAAGTGGTCAAGAAACAGAAAAGTTTTGTTCCAATTATAGTTTTATCGTCTACGTAATTCCAGTCTATAAAATGCTCAAACGTCATTCGCACACAGTTAGGAAAATAATACGTCTTTATAAGTATTGTCACTAATATCCCATAAATACAGAAAACCAATGTTCAATGCTTATTATCAATCAAATCATCTATCTGTTAAGGCATGATCTGTAGAACTGGCTTGTGTCCTTTTTAGTGTTACCTTCGCTACATTTCTTTGGCAAGTTATATAACTCTGAATTACACCATAAACGTGTTAATTGAGCTAGTGAAATGCCTAGAATTTCAGAAGAATAAATAACTATACAGCGTTTATAATCTATGTCAGCTTTTCGAGATTCGTCATATCTGAAGTTATTTTTTGAGTTAAACAATTGGTGTTTTAGATTAAGAAAATATGCAAAGTATTCTATTGATTTTATTATGCCATTGAAATGAAAAATCTTTTTTTACTCATTGGTTTAATTGAATCAGTTATCAGAAACTTATGGATTAAAATTTTAATTCAAACTTATCAATAAAACAGAAAAGTGCAAAGAAGATTTTAGAAAATGGAGTGAGCTTGTTAAAAAAAGGAGCGTGTTAAACAAATCACTACTAACTGCAATCAAAAAATGCCTATGCTAAAAAAATAAAAACTAAGACCTAATTAAACCTTGTTACTGATTTTGACTGGATATCAAAGTGGACTAAAATCAGCGTCATTAAATTTGTGTCAGAACTTGCTGATAAATGATTCGCTGAAAGTATTAATTTTTGTATGAAACACTGCTGTATTGAATTACATATATTTTATAAATTCCAGGTATTAAAACTTTTGAATATATATTATTAGTAATTAATAAAATTTTATGCCTGCTTTAGATGCATGTGTTTTTAACTTCAATAGGAGTGATTTCAATTTATGACCATGCATCAATTACTAAAGCTAACTTTAATTTTCGTTTTCTTTCATTTAGATATTACAGAAATTTTATGCTTACATAAATTTCGCGTTAATATTTTTAAAATTTATAATTTGTTTTCGAAAATATTCGATGTTATTAGTAAGTTTGAAGTTGCCAGCATTTTGTGAAATATTTAAAATTTTTTAATTCATTTTAATTATAATACTTATATTTTTTCTTTCTTTCAATACTAAAACGAAAAAAAAAAAACCTTTTTAAAAAAATATTTTTTCGAAATTCTTTCAATTACTAAATATTTTGTTTTTCTTGATATTCAGAGTATATTTACGTGCAAGTTTTATTTTTATTCCATCGTTGATTATAATATACTGCGTTTATAGAACATCTCTGCTACAAGTTCTTCTAATTATGAATATTTTATGAGTCATACAATGAAACTAACGTTTTTAATAAATTCGGAAAGAATGATTTCAATTTATAAATATATTTTAATTTGAAGTATACGTTTGAGATCTAATATAAATCCTTTTAAAATCCATTTTTAGATTCATTAACTGGATGCTGTTAAAATTTCGCTTAGAAACTGGTTTAGGTTTGCTTAATATTTTACCAAATAAAAAAATAATTAGTATAACAGATTTCGGTAACTTATGAATAAAAATTGATACATTTAGAAATACTATTTTCATATCTTTTCTAGTATATTACAGTTTTTAATAATATTTCTTAGTTTTCTTTTCCTTTAATCCATTTGATTGAATATGATTCAATTCTTGGATATTTTCGTATATTATTAAAGAAATTTATTTCGTGTAGATGTAAAGTCTGCTACTTACGCAGTGTCAGATAAAATACGTACTGTGTTTTAAAAGTGAATTAGTAAATTATAAGTGGACGCCATGTATTTAAATAAATTTGCAAATATTGCCTTCTGCATTGACTATAGATTTTAATAAATCTTATGTTTACATTCTTATAATTTTTTGTCTTTATGTCATCTCTAGAACTAAAGTGTCAAATAGGCGTTTAATGAAAAACAAATTAAAGAGATCATTTTTCAAAAGTGCACTTACATTTATTAAAAATGATACAAATGAAGTGCCTAATTTAAATGCCTGAAATTTCATGCTTATTTTTCTCATTACATTTTGAAAAAAATAAATGAGAAGTAATTAAATATTTTATACTTGAAAATTGCTTCAAGAGGTAGCATAGATAAATACTAAATATAGAACTACAAATTCTTTATAAAAACATAAAAGCGTGGAATTGAGAACCATTTGGAAGATAATCCAGGTCCAGCGATCACATACTTCATTTTGTTTTAATAAATGCTTCTTTTAGACCTCAATAAAAGTAAGTTCTCTTAGGTTTTGATTTTAAGACCTTTAAGAATATTTAAGCTAGAAATCTTCGAATGATGATGAAAGTGCGAAGGTTCTAATTTAAGAATTTCAAATCTTTCAGAAAATTTGTGGGATTCTAAAATTCTATCTCTATTCACATACAAAGTGTTTTATTTTTTATAATATTGTATTCAAATAATACATCTTTTAAGAGATAGTTTAATGCAGTTAATACTTTTGTTGAAGATAATTTAATGCCATTATTTAGATTAGGGTATTTATTAAACATTTGTTCTTAATTTTTTTAAATTTAATACTGTTATTAAATTTGTATTTGTTATTAAAACATTGGCAATTGCCTTTAGTGTCAACACCCCATTTTCTTAAAGCATATTATAGACGTTATGTAAAATCTTATACAAAATATTATTAATTAATTTGAATTATGTATTTAATAAATTTATGCAATATTTGTATTTCTAGCAATTTTCAAAATATGGACAAAATTGAGAAAGGGCCTAAAGAAATATTCTCTCCTGAAATACAAAAGGTAATGTATTTTTTAAATTCTGAATTAGAGATGTTACTAACTGATATGATAAATGCGAATATTAGTTTTACATTTTGCATGAAACATTTAGAAGATATGTTTTACCGAAAAAGGTTCGAAACCTGAATTCAGTAATCTATATTTTTTCTGTCTTTACATTTCTGTGATCTAGATTTCTGTAGCGAAATCAAATCTTTTACTTAAAAGAAACTTAAAAATCTGATTGAACGATAATTTTCATTTACTTCTTGGTGTCTAAAATACTCTTTAGAGTGCGGCCATGAAACATTTACTTGATACATACTTCTGTGTTTTCAGTAAATGTTAAAATTTTGCATTAGGATTAGCCAAATACAAAGAAATATTTTAGAATGTTAATAACGTAAATTCCCCCACCGCCTTTCGATACGAGGAGCACTAAATATTCTTTTGATTGAATGTTTTCGTAATAAATACCTCTTCTTTAGAATTTTATTCTGAATAAATTTGAACTTAACGCAAAATCAGAAATGAATAAAAGGAATTAAATATGGCTTACTATTCTTGTAAACTTGCGTCACAGCAATTTTGCATTACTTTTTTATGAATATTTTTATAAAGGATGAAGTAATTTTTACGGAATATTTTCCTCTCAGAATATAAAAAAAAATTTAAAAGTAGAAAAGCTGTGTATGCCTCCTGATGACTGTAAATGCATTCGCGGTAAAAAAGTACTGAACAAAATGTGCGAAATGTTACTTTTCATAAAATTCTGTGCCACATCATTTTACCTCTCAAGTTCTTTTAAAATTTTTTCCGAAATTCATTTGGAAGTAATTTTTGTCAATGCAATATGAAAAATAGGAAATAAAAAGGATAATAGTAAAAAGAAGATACATGACCTTAGGTTTCAAAACCCGAGACCTGTCGTCTACAATTCCAGTGCTTTACCACAGAATCCTCAGATTCTTCGAAAGTTTGATAAATTCATACATATATTCGTGTGTTGCTTTATAAAAAATGTTACTTTAGATTTGCATTGGATTGCATTATTTATATATTATTATCTCTACTAGGAGATATCTGCTTATAAGGAAACTTTTCGTGGAAGTCTTTTTAAGTGAACCATCCAGTATTCGTATTATGCAGTAGGAAAGGCTGACATCCCAACCCGGTTAACGGCCAGATATAGAACACATAATGTACTACCAATAATAATATGCAGTATAAAAGTAGACTAACAAATGAACGTGATCCCTTAACGAACTGTTTTAAATTCTAGTTCGTTACTTATTTCTGAATAGGTTGGATTATATTTTTGAAAATGGATTATCCTCCATTTGGCCTGCCTTTGTGGGAAATTTAGGAATGGTGGATCCAAAAGTTGTAGGCTCCCTTTATCAGTCGCTAAAGTGAACTGCGTCTAAGAAGTACTTAGATTAAAAGAATTAGTAAATTTTACTGTGCATGTTTTATGCAATGCTAAATGTAAACTTCCAACCACTATAAAATACCAACTTTTCATTCCATACTGATTTTGTTAAGATACCAAATATATCCATTCTGCATTTACCAAAAACCAAACTGCTGAAGCAAAAATGTATTGATAATATATGAAACAAAAACGTATTGATAATATATGAAACAAAAACGTATTGATAATATATGAAATGTAGGTAAAAAGATAAAATATGTCAAAGAAGAATATTTTTTTTCTTTTTCAAAGATCCTTTGAAGCTATTTTTGAATTAGCTTTTTCTTGCTAGTACGGTGTACTCTTGATTATCCGGGATAATGCTGAGCAAGCAAATCATGGGTAATTGAAAAATACATATAATCCAAAATATCAGTTTTCATGACTATTATGTACAGTTATTCTTGGGGGAAAAAACAGTAATTTTTCCTTTTTTTGGGGGGGGGGGGGGGAACGTTCCATCATTTGTCGAATTTCAGTCCGCATTTTTCGAAGTGCTGTTTTATCATTGTATTCGAGTCCCCTTTGGTTGATTAAATTCGAGTCCAAAGAGTTTCAATAAAAGTAATTTGTCTCGGGACTAATGCAATTGTCAGTATCATTTTCGATTGTATTTTCAGTATCACTCTCTACCTCTTATGTTCCACACTTGTAGCTTGTTCTTTATCGAATTTTTATTTGTAAAATTTCAAATTATTTTTTTAAAAAAATGGAAAAAAGTATACTCGAAAATACGTACGAAACATAAACATCTCAGCGATCAACAAAACGATACTTTAAAGTATGAACTTCAAGAACGAATTGAAGTCGTTGAAACTAAACCTAAAGACGGATTTCAGGGGCGTTTAGAGCATGATGGCACGCACGGGTAATTCGCACCCGGATAATCGAGAATGCAATATAGTAGAACGAGAATATCGTATTTAAATATGCTTGAATATTAGCTTTGCAATATTTAAAAGCAATTTTCTCTCGTATTACTTTATGTTAGATTGGTAGATCTATGATTTTCAATACCGAAAACTTGCGTTTAAAAATACCTTAACGAGGTACTATGTTTTCATAAAAAATCAAACATTTGCGCCTATTGAAACGTGATCCATGAAAAAAGGCGTGAAACTGAAAAATGAATGGAATATTTTGAATGCTGTTTTTCACTTTTCATTATGTCGCTTTTTGCTTCCATATCATTTATATTCTAAACCTAAACACTATTGACAGTGCCTAAGTTCTAATATCTTTTACACATCTTACACGTGTTCAGAAACCTGAAAACAGCCAGTTCTTGGATTGTTATCATGTATCTAACATAATGTACACAATTTATTTTGCAAATCCTAATTCCATTTGTTAATATGTGTAATTATTAAGCAGCAACATAACTGCAGCATTATTGTGATTAATAAATGTGTTTTAATATCATATGAATACATTTTTTCCGTGTTATTGGAAGTTGGCTTCAAGAATGTGAAAATACAATGTAAAGTAAAAGAAAAATTATCTGAATGGATAAATATAAAAGAATCAATATTATTTATATTATTTATATTTGTTTCTTATATCTGCTGGATAATTAGCTTAGAGAGAGTACTACACGTTGTCGTATTGCTTCTTTGCTGATTTACTTTGAAGTCATTGTATGGCTAGTAGTGATAAGCTTTAGAATAAAAGCTAACATAAAAAATTATTTCTTATTTTAATATTTTACTAGTGATTATTTTATGTCGACGATAGAGAGACATCAAAAAAGTCGTGCAATAAAATTTATGTCATGGCATTTGAGGCTTTTAAACTTACTCAACAAAAATAAGTTCGGTGTAACTGCTATTACGCGTAGTCTATAAAAAATCTTTTATTTCATTTTATCTTCATTTAACCCATAATTACATTTTCCCTATTGCCTTAATTAAGTGAGAAAATTTTTTCTTCTTCAACCTGGTACTTTAATCCATCATCTATTTCTTCTGCGTTCTGTTGTCTTAGAAAATGCTTCATCGTAATTTAGGAAGCATAACGTGTTTAGTGAAAAAGGCCATGTTAAAAAGTTTCAAGCATACATTGGAGAAAATAGTGCAGTTGTAGACGAAAGCGAAAATGCAGATCTAGTGTATTTATATCACATTATTTTCATCAAAAATTTTTATTAAAATAAACCTAATTAAAATGTTCTTAATCTGCAAGATTTTTCTGGATTTCAAAGGTATTCTTGATAATGCTTAGTACCTATCTGCCTTAAAAATTCTAAAAGATGATAGTATATCACATAATAAATATCTATAGCCTGCTTAAAAACTTTTTAAATGGAAGGACCGCTGAACTTCAGCTTGGGTCCGGAGGGAAGGTTTATTCTCTGGATAAAGGCTGTCCTCAAGATTGCGTGTCTGGACCTAACTCTTTGGAACATTATAATACATAATAAACTTTTAAGTCATCTCGACGGTTGCTTAAAATTTCATTTGCAGACGACTTTTAATTTTCCAATTAAAGATTTTGACGAATACTCTTCTGAGAGTTTGTCTCCAACTGGGCAATTTCCAATAAACTCACTTTCAAACTTTCAAAAAATAAAGCTCTGATTTTTTACAGAAATTTTGATGAACAAAATATTGCTTCCTCGACATTCGATTATTCTTCTTTGGAATTTACAGAAACATTTTAAGTATCTTGGTGTTATACTTGACCAAAAATTAACATGGAAAAACCTCATAGAATTCTTTTCTACTAAATCTGAAAGCATTATTAATGTTTTTCACAGAATTGCCACAACTACACTTTCAGTAAACTATGAAGTTAACAAACTAATGCATAAGCTGCGTATTGTGCTTTTTATTTCTCTCATTTGGCTCTCGTGCTTGGGAACATATTCTTGCAAAGAAGGTTAACAAAAGAAATCTGAGAAACGTTCAACGACGAATTCTTCTTCGTATTATTAACGGATATAGAACCTTAAGTTATGATGCTTCTTTTGTTCTTGCAGGAGTTCCTCCTATTGATATCGAAATCAAATATAAAAATAATGTTTTTGAGACATTGGTACCAGATAATTTCTAAGAATGCATATTTAGATATGTTCCCTTCCCTGATATTCCTCATACAGCTACTTTAGAGCCCATAAATTTCTGCGTCTCTAAAGAGACTATTGAAAAGTTTTTTTCATACGGTTTGCTTCACAGTAAAATGAAAAAAAAAAAAAAAGAAAGAAAAAAAAAGAAAAAAAAAACAATACGATTGGCCTTGCATTTGTCGTTTTGAAAAACAATTTGAGATTTTTTTTTTTATTTTTAGCACCATATTCGAAATAAATGTACGGTTGTTCAAGGAAAAAGATTTCTCAGTGTTTATATTGCCATCAATTGGATGAAGGATAATGGGACAGCATCCTCAAGGTACCTTATATGTTCTGGTTGACTTTCTTCTCTTCACATTCTGACAACCAGCCATGACCAGTATTACCAGCGACAAATTAGAAATTCAAACTGTAGTAACCGTCAATTCTCTTAGACGTAGGAGAATTGATGTCCGTTTTGTTTATATGCATGATCATCAT